ACTTGAGAGTCAGCCTGTCCAGAATCGTTCTTAATCCCACTCTCCAGGGGTGGGATTCAAATTTTTAACAACCGGTTCTGTGGGCGTGGCTTAAAGGGTGGTGGGCATGGCTTGGTGGTCATGTGACTGGGTGGACATGGCTTGGTGGTCATGTTATTGGCTGGGCACGGCCAACTCAACATCACTCACATAGAGGCACGCAACTCCTCGCCTGGCCTCTCTTGACCATGGGGATGCTGCAACAGTCATAAGTGTGAAAATGGTCATAAGTCACTTTTTTCAATGCCACTGTAACTTTGAATGGTCACTCCACACAAGCAAACTACCCGCAAAGGAAGGGAAAATAACTCCAGAGAAGTTCCAGAGACAGGAAGTCTAGTCCTGCCAAGAATGTAATGAGGGTTAACGGAGAGGCAGTTTCTGTAAGCAACACCAGAATGTTTCCTTCCTGCCTTCTTTACAGGATTAGCCCTGTAATTTCTTCTAACAACCGGTTCTCCCAACTGCTTAGAATGTTAACAACCAGTTCTAGCGAATAGGTGCGAACCTGTAGAATCCCACCCCGACACTCTCCCCTCAGATGGTATATTTTCCTGTTTCCAGTACTGTGCATACACAATCCTGGCTGCTCTTTTTATATGTGAAATAATATATACATCTGTCTTAGTATGTTCTTCTCTTAATATTCCTAATAGAAACAGTTCCAGTCTGAATTCAATTTTTTTTTCGCTATTTCCTCTATTGACTTATGAATTCTACTCCAGTAATTTTTAGCTTCCGAGCATGTTCACCACATATGGAGGAAGGTGTCCTGTTTGTTTTTACATTTTCAGCAATTTGGTCTCCTTGTTGGGAACATCTTTGCCAATCTGGTAGGGAGTAAATACCAACTATAGAACATTTTTATATGTTTTCTTTATATGCTGCTGATAATATTTGTTTATAATTTTTCCCCACATTTTTCCCAGTATTCTAATAGAATATTACATCCCAAATTTTTCACCCAAACTATCATTGTTTCTTTTACAATTTCTTCTTCCATTTTGAAATTCAGAAGAAGGTTGTATATTTTAAATATCATTTTCACTTCTGTGCCCTGAATTATTTTATCTAATTGTTGTTGGTCTTTATAAAATCCATATTCTTCCTTGTCTTTTTTATATCTTGTCTGAATTTGCATATAGGGCCACCAATCAATTTCTATGCCTTGTTGTTTTAGTTCTTGTACTGTTCTCAACATCCCTTGTGTATCAATCATTTTCTTATATTCCTAAATATAAGGAACCATTCAGCTTTCTAAGAGAACCCGCCGGGGCCTCCTCACTGCCAACTGAACGAGGAAGCTTCTGTCCTCATCCAGGACAATCACGGCATGTTCCTTTCGGGCCCCAGCGGATCTCCTCTTTTTCCTCTGATGTATGTTGCAACCTCGTGTACAACGAGGCAAAATTCTTGCTCTGAAATATGCCCATCGATTAGGGTGGTGGACGGTGATCGTGCCCAGCTGGCGATTGGCTAGGACTCTGTTCTCACATCTGCTAGAAGATGGTTGCCAACTGGTGGGACATGAGAAAAGTTTGGTGGTCCACAGAAAAAAATGTTCCCCCCCCCAAAGCAATTAATCCAGGCTGCGCGGGAACACAAGGCTGCACCACCTACATGGCCCAACCACCCGCTGGCCTCCACCCTTCAGCCAAGCGCAAACCTTGAGTAGAGCCATGGTGGGGAGGGAAATCCAACTCAGGATGGATTGCTGACGTTGGTGGGAAAGTCGGTCCCCTATTCCAGAGCTGCAGTAGTCATAAGATTGACCCTTTGGTTATCCCGGAGCAGCTCCTCCAGTCCATGGCAGGCCAGCGCACCTGGGTGGACAAGCAGCAGGATGACCAAAGGGCCAGTCCTGTGACTACTGCAGCTCTGGAACAGGGGACCGACTTTCCCACCACCATCAGCAAGCCACCATCAGTCAAAATTCATATTAGTGGTCCACGGGATTTAAAATTATGAGTTTGGTTGTCCCTGAGGTCCAAAAGGTTGCCGCCCCCTGTGGTAGAACATGGTGTAGGGTCGTCTGCTTGAGCAGAAGACTAGAAAGACCTCCAAGGTCCCTTCCAACTCTATTATTCCATGTATTAACACCTGTATACAAGTAGAGCTCATGGGAGCCGCCAGTGTTTGGCCCCTGAAGGTATCCCAGACCTTTTGAGCAGTGGCCTCCATATGCTTGTTGTAGGTGCCGTGTCTAAGGACCAGCAATTGTACAAATTCTGTTCTGTTCGAGCTCAGTTGCCGTGGTGTGCTCCATAAAATTAGTGGGCTGGATCTGCTCATAAATGGGGCATTGGGTGATCTTGACGGGAACTCTACGGTTGACCAAACACAAAGCTAAACTCCTCTGCCTTGCCTGAGAGAGGAGAATTCCCCACCAACTGAATTCAGGTACTGGATTCAGGATCGTTCTGATGAGAATGGTGGAGTTTTGATGGATCCTGTTATAAGTAAACTGATTCCTTGGAACATCTTGGATAAGGAGAAGACAGGAGATTGCCCACATGTGACCCGGACAGCTGCTCCTCATCAGGAGATAACAAGACAGAGGTTTTCCATGGCTTTGGGCACAGGGAGATGATGGGATTAGCCATCTTGCTCACATCTGTGGCAGAATCTTTTAAAGGACACTGAGTTTGCAAATGTCATTTTCTAATCATTTCTCCTTAGCTACTTCTAAGTTATTAGAAATCTTTGGAGTGACAAGTTTCCCTTCAAACCTGAGTGAAGGAACATTTTAATCATAAACTTAATAATGTAAAGTATCCAAAATAAACAGCAAAAAGCTAAATGCAAAATGCAGCAGGCCGCATGGTTTTGTGCAGACCCCGGTGTGCATGTTTCACCTCTCCCGCAGGAGCTGCATCAGCTGCCGATTTGCTTCCGGGTGCAATTCAAGGTGCTGGTTGTCACCTTTAAAGCCCTTCGTGTCTTGAGACCAGGTGATCTGAGGGACCCACTCTTGTCGGTAACATCTACCCAACCCATCAGAGCAAGGAGGCAGGGAATGTTGCGGGTCCCACCCCTGAAGGAGATACACCTGGTGGGACCCAGAAGAAGGTCCTTCTCCGTGGTGGCTCCCTCTCTCTGGAATATCATTCCCCCAGAGATTAGAACGGCCCCCACTCTGGGCCTGGGGAACCCAGAGAGGGATGGAACCCATCAAATGGCTTGTGTGATCTGCTGTCATCGGGGCGGGATGTGGGAATTGGGTTTTTTGTTTTGTTTTGTTTTGTTTTGTTTTTTGTTTTCCCAAATTTTGTTCTCTTGTACTTTACTAATTTATTTGATTCTTTTTATTAGTTTTTATTGTTTTTATTTTTATTGTTTTGTTTTAAATATGGTTTTATGTTGTGTAAGCCACCTCAAGAAGCCATGGGCAAATAGGCGGCAATATAAATAAAATAAATAAATAAGATGATAAGGGTCCAGATGAAATTGGAATATTGAAACTTATTACAATAAGATTTTGAAATTAATTACCAAGAACAAACAGCATTTTGTGGGGAAAGGATTCTGTTTTGGTTTTTACAAGAGACAATAAAGATAAGCAATTTCATGATTTCAAAAATTAAAGACTCCCTAAGACAGTAAAATTATTTGGTTGAGGAACGATTAACGAGCCTGTAAAATGTTGTAAAACATTAGAACAATGAAAATATTGAAGGAGACTTTTGGACCTGAGGGGATTGAAATGGGGGACTGAAGAAAAGCAGAGCTGGTGACCATTAGTGGATGAAGAGCCAGCAAGTAGAAGGGTTGTTCCTCTCCTCTGGACAGAGAGGACCTGAGATTGCCCACAAGTGCTCCGGACAGCTGCTCCTCAAAAGGAGATAACAAGACAGCAGTTTCACAAGCTTTATTTTCTAATCTCTTTTGAAAATTGCTCATTAGGAATCTTTAGGCTGATAGGTTTGGCAGCACCGGAGGAGTTTTCTTTGAACCCCTAACAAAAGAAGTTATAACTTCTATACATCTATCTACACATAGGAATACACACAGAGAGAGAGATGTATACATATATATACAGCAAAGGGGTAATTAAAACATTGATTTTAGAAAGTTACAAATGGACTTGGGGACCCTATACGTTTAAAATACAATTTTGGAATTAATTATAAAAAAATCTTCCTGTGGGAAAATACAGTCGATTTTAAAAAATTAGTAAGATGGGGGGGGGAAGAAAAATTGGACTAGAAAGAACTAAACATTACAATTTAGGAGACACTTAAACTTAGCCTACAACAAAAGAACGAAGCAAAATATTTCAGCACTGGAGATGTTGAAGGTCCCATGCTGAACCACAGAGGCGGATGTTAATTCTAAGGGCCTCTGCCTTGGTAGGTGGACCGTGTGCGGACGAGGTCGTGGAAGGGGAAGAGACCACCAGACAAGGTGGGGAATGAGATCTCCGCCTGGAGAGAAACACGATTTCCTACAAGAAGGACAAGGAAAAAGAGGCTGCACTGGACGCGCAAGGTGTCTTCATCTATAAAAGGGATATGGAAACGCTAAGTTAAGACAGCGACCAGATAATTTTCTCTGCTAGAATTCCAAAACGGGCTTGTTAAAGGTTGGAAAACTTTTCTGAGGGAGAAAAAGAAATGAAAAGAAATTAATTTCTGCAACGTTATTTGAAAGGACAAAAGATCAAAATCGTTCAAAGTCAAAACCAGACTAAACCCTGGGAAAGTTAGGAGTTCTGGTCTCTCCTTAGCCCTGAAAGTGGCTGGGTGACTCTGAGCCAATCGCCAGGAGATGGGAGTTGTAGTCCACGGAACCCTCCCGGCCACTCCGCCCGCCGACGTTTCCCCGCCGGACCCCCGGGGGAGGCAACCTTCCCCGCCGGAGCCATCCGGAGGCGCGGGGCGGGAGGGGCGGGACGGGGCGGGGACGGGTTGCTCTTAGCCCCGGAGAGGAGGCGGGGGAGGCTCAGTCGCCCAGCCGTCGCCATGGGCTCCGGTCGCAGCCCCCTCCCGCTCCTCTTGGGGGTCGCCTTCGCCCTCTGGAGCCCCCTGCTCTCCCGGCGGGGCAGCTGTGAGTGGGGCGAGGCGGGAGGGGGTCCAGAGGGGTCTTCGGTTGGGGGGACCCCGAGAGCCCCGCTCCCTCGGAACGCCCCAGGTGGAGCCACCGGGATGCGCCCCGGACGCCCAAGGGGAAACCCCCCACCCGCACCCTGCTCTGCGCCCCCCGAGACCCCCGTTGGGCTTCCCTGGACGCGAGAACAGCCGCCCTCCGTCCCCCGCGAAGCCCCAGACGGGAGAGGGGCGAGCGAGGCTCTGCCGGGCGGGCTTTCCTTCGGGCTCCTTCGGGCAAGACCCCGGCTGGCCAAGGACGCCGCCCACCTCGGGGCCATCGCCCTCCGGACGCCGTTCCGAAGGGGGGAGCGGGCCGGGGCAGGAGGAGGAGACGTCGATGAACGGAGGGTCCCCGCCTCTCCCCGGGCAAACGCTGCCGGAGGGGGTCGCAGGCGCCCACCCGCGGCTTCTTTTAAGGCTCGATTCATTGATTGATTGATTGATTGATTGATTACATTTCTATGCCGCGCATCTCCCCTACGAGGTGACTCTGGGCAGATTACAGATTAGGAAACCAAGTGAATAATAATTACAGTATAATTCTATTAACACAATTAATTTTATAAAGATTATAACGTTAACACTCAGGAACGGAGCAGGGAGTTAGGAGGCTTGATACAAATATCGATAGAATTAGAGAACCTAAGAGTTCGTAGGCTCTGGAAGGTCATCTAGTCCAGGGGTCGCCAACCTTTTGGACCTCAGGGACCACCAAACTCATAATTTTAGATCCCAGGGACTACTAACTGGTTCTGGGGGTGTGGCCTGATTTGTGGGTGTGGCTTGGTGGTCATGTGACTGGCTGGGCATGGCTTGTATGTAAATATAAATATTTATATAAATGATTTTTTTTATAAAAAAGCAACTTCTATTCAAAATCAGGCAAAGCAGGCAGGCAGATTGAGTTGCTCACAGATTCATTCAGAAATCTATCTGCCATCGGCTAGCTCAGTCTGTCACATAAAATTTGCTTGCAAGCAAACTCATGTGAAAATATTGCACTTTTTATTTTTTTTTTAAAAAAGAGCAACTTCAGGCAAAGGCAGATTGAGTTGCTCACAGAATCATTCTGTGATCTATCTATCTGCCATCAACTAGCTTAGTCTCTCAAATTTGCTTGCCGTGAGTCTGCACTGAATTTGCTTGCAAGCAAACCTTCAGTCCTAAGGGAGGTTTGGCTGTACTTAAAAGCAGAGCTGAAAATCTAAAGACTAGCCAGAAAGCAAGAAATCCAACCATTTCCTGCTTCCTAGCTAATCGGCACAGAAGAACAGATGATGGTCAGAAAAAGGAAAAACAGAAAGTCAAGGGTCCTGGGTAAAGAGTGAGTGGGCGAGGAGCGTTCCCGTGGGCCATGTGGGTAGCGCAGCCTTATGTTTCTGCGCAGCCTGGCTTAATTGTTTTGGGGGATGCTCTGGGGGTGAGATTTCTCTGTTCAGGTTCTGCTTGGTACATTCTTAAAATGTACATTGGTACATTCTTAAAATACACACTGTATTCTTTAAAAAAGAAAAAAATATATAAATGTATATAATTAAAACAACATTCCATTCCAATTCAATTCTATCATTAATATTAATATTCATTAAAGTCTTAACATCTTTAACATTACTTTTCAATTAAATATCATACTTCTATGGGAACAATTATAAGCTTTCCATACTTAATTTCCCCCCTCTTCACTTATATTTTATAAAACATTAACGAATTAAAATGTTCCCGTTCCTTCCTAATTCAATTTTCTCATTTATTTTATTTCACTTATTTTATTCACAAACATTTCACTAAATTACACTAACTATTTTATCCCTCATTTTGATCATACATCATTTCCAATTTTCTAAAGTTATTTCTATTACTAATATAACAATACAATCTTATGTACCTTTACAGAATCCCTTTTTCAGTTAGATTTTCACCCATTATCTCTAAATAGGTCCTGCTTCTCTATATCTTGCTCCGGTCCTTTGTAACTTCTTTTCCTTTCCTTCTTCCCTCTCTTCTTCTCTCTCCCCTTTTTACCCCCTTGTCTCTCTTCCTCTATTTCTCTCTTCTGTATTCCCCTTTTCTGTTGCTTTCCAGTATTATACTTATTTTTTGAATTATTTTTCTTTTCTTTGGTTGTTTTTTTAAGTCTTAAATTCTCCATTCTCTTTCCCCCCCCCCTTTCCTTTTTCTTCCCCACATAGAATTACTTGTTCATTAAAGATGGCTTCTTCTTTGTCCCAGTCTTCATGTTTTGCAGTCTTTTCTTGTTGTTTCTCATAGTTCCAAATCTCCATTTCTAAGAATTGAAAGATGAAGCCAAAAGAACCCTTCCCTTCTTGTGCATCTTCTTTGTACTTAAGTTCCATTTTCAATTCATCCAGAAGTGGTGCCATTGTATAAATTTTTAAACAACAACCCAGTTGATTTCAGTCATTCAAATATAATAACCAAAAATCCAAAGATCACTAAATAATCCAAATACACGCAAGCTGTTTCTTTTTTGCTCTTTTTTCACTTTCTCTTCCTGGGGTTCCTATTTAGTTGCCAAGTTTCAGTTAAAATGTATCTTTTAGAAGTCTTGTTAAAGTTTTACTTTAGATTCTTTTTAATTCCAGGCAGTCTCCTCCCTCTTCCAGATCCTGCCCTTATTCTTTTTCTATCCCTTCCTGCTTATGAAAAAGAAAGTTTTTAATGTGCAGAATTCTTTATTATCCCTTTGGCATTTTGTTTTATTTTCAGCTTAATTGCCTATTGATGTCAAAGCGGATTTTTCCAGTTTCTTATTTAAGTCTCTTAGTTGTCAGTATAGGGAAGGAGAGAGAAGGGGGAAAAAGGCAAACTTTTCCCTTTTCACTTTCCTTTGCTGCTTCCAACTCTTCTTTGGGAGCGATGTTATTTTTTGTAAGTTTAAATTCCAGGGTACCTTGGTTGTTGCTTTTACAATTTAACCCGGTCAGCCAAAACTTTCACTTCTTATCTTCCTCCTGCACATTCTTTTCCGCTCAAGTTCTTCTTTGTGGTGGCCATTTCTGACCACTGCTGCAACCGCCTTCGGGAAAGGGAGTAATGGCCAGCTGAGGAGGAGAGATGCGGCTCTCCTCGACCCTGCTGGTGGTCTCCCCTCTCTTCACCACCTCTACGGGGTGGCTTAGCCCCGAAACCAGCCAGTTTGGGGCGCTCCAGCAGCGAGCCCAGATAAAAACTGCGCACGATCGCGGATTTCTGTCTGTCGCCAAAGCCCTTCAAACCGGAAGTCAGGCCCAGGACTCTTCAATATCTCCATTAACGACTTAGATGAGGGAATAGAAGGGGAACTTACCAAATTTTCAGATGATACTAAGCTGGCAGGAATAGCTGACACCCAAGAAGATAGGCTCAAGATCCAGATGGATCTTGACAGACTACAACACTGGGCTGTATCTAATAAAATGAAATTCAATGTAGAGAAAAGTAAAGTCCTACACTTAGGCAAGAAAAACCCAAAGGACACATATAGACTGGGTGAAACCAGGCTCAATAGCAGGAACTGGGAGAGGGATCTTGGAGTCTTAGTGGACAACCAGCTAAATAGGAGCCAGCCGTGTGTAGCAGCAGCCAAAAAAACTAATGCAATCCTAAGTGTATTAACAGAGGGATACACTCAAGATCAAGGGAGGTACTAATACCACTCTATAAAGCCTTGGTAAAATCACACCTAGAGTCCTGCATCCAGTTCTGTTCACCACATTACAAAAAAGGTGTTGAGACTCTAGAAAAAGTACAGAGAGGAGCAACCCGGATGATTAAGAGACTGGAGACTAAAACATATGAAGAACAGTTGCAGGAACTGGGCCTGGCCAGTCTGGTGAAGAGGAGGACCAGGGGAGACAGGATAGCAGCCTTCCGATATTTGAGGGGCTGCCCCAGAGAGGAGGAGGAAGGGGGTCAAGCTATTCTCCAAGGCACCCGAAGGCCAGACAAGGAAGAATGGATGGAAACTGAACAAGGAGAGAGATTCAACCTGGAAATAAGGAGGAAATTTTCTGACAGAACAATCCACCCATGGAACAGAAGTTGCCCTCGGAAGTTGTGGGAGCTTCATCACTTGAGACTTCCAAGAAGAGATTGGACTTCCATTTGTCAGAAATGGTCTAGGGTCTCCCACTTGGATGGGGGGTTGGGCTAGATGACCTACAAGGTCCCTTCCAACTCTGATTATCTGTTCTCTGTTACCTCTGAGATCCCTTCCAGCCTTAGGATTGTAGGATTCTATGGGGTGCAGGACCAGCATTTGGGCTGTGACGTTTCCCAGGGCTTCAGGCTCACTGAGGGTCAGTTAAAATATAACCGTGGAACGAAGGCAAAGGGGGGAGGGGGGGTCTCCAACCTGGGCCACCTTAAGACAGGTGAACTTCAGCTCCCAGAATTCCCCTAACGGTCTTCAGAGGCTGCTTTGAATGCGTTGTTATCACTTCTGCTTTACAAAAGGTTCCTTTCGAGGGCCGTCACTTTCTTAGGTAAGGAGGAGAGGCAATCCGTACAATTTTTCAAAATTTCTATTGCATTGTACTCAAGTTGTGCATTGACAATAAACCTTTGATTTGATTTGCATTCCCCAGCCTCAATTAGGGGGCTGCTCTTTCCCCCCCCACAGCACCTAGAGCCGAGCAGCAAAGCTTTGAGTTTCCCGAATCTTCTCTCTTGCAGCCAAGCCGGACTGCAGCTCCTTCCCCACCTATTTTGAGCGGTGTAGGCTCCCTAAAGAGCATTTCTTCTACAACCAGACCGCCAAGCGCTGCCAACTTTTCCTGGACTTTGGCTGCCCCGGGAGCTTGAACACCTACGACACCCTCAGGAAATGCCAGCAATCCTGCTCAGAGATTGGTGAGCCCAGCTGTTGGGCAGGGAGTGGGGGGGAGGGTCTGGGGTCCTGTAGAGACTGGGCATCACGGGGGTCCCTGAGACAGGCAGTCAGGTCACGTTTGGGGGTGAAGAGAAGAGTTCGGAATTGAATACCCGAAACGAGAGGTTTGCTGTGTTTGCACCAGGGGTGGGACTCGATATTTTTTACTACCGGTTCTGTGGGTGTGGCTTGGAGGGCGTGGCAGGGGAAGGATACCGTAACATCCCCCTTCCCTCCCCACACCACTGACCTGCTTTCCAGCTCCGTTCTCCCGTGCAGGGCAACCAAAGGAAACCCGGCCGATCAGCTGGGACTCAATGGGAGTCGGAGAAGAGGTGGGGTTGGCGGGGCCAGTCAGAGGTGGGATTGGCCGGTTCTCTGAACTACTCCAAATTTCTGCTACCGGTTCTCCAGAACTGGTCAGAACCAGCTGAATCCCACCTCTGGTTTAAAGAGGTTTCTCCCCAGTTCCGCTCCATTCGTGCTCTGCACAGAAAAGACCTCCTGCCTGCCTGAAAGGAAGCCCTTTCTTCCTTCCCCCGCTTCCTTCCACCCTCCCTTCCAAAAAAAAATCCAAGTATCTTCCCACCTGATGCCAACCTCTAATCCCCTCCCCCCCCCCTGCAGACATCTGCACGCTGCCTCCTGATCGCGGGCCTTGCAACGAGAAACTGCACCGCTGGTTTTACGAGCCGAAGACCGGCAAGTGCACGAAATTCATTTTCGGGGGCTGTGAGGGGAATGCCAACAACTTCAACGTACGATGGTTGTGCCGGCGGAGGTGCCGCGTTTGAGGTGGGTGTGGGGTGCTGGGGGAGGGTGCCCTGAAAGGTGGGAGGCCGTGTGGGAAGGAGCAGAATTCCCACCTTGAGTGCGAGGGAGAGGAAGGGGGAAATGAGAGGTTCCCCCCCCAATTGGCAGCCCTGCAGAAGGGGCCCCTCTTTGTCCCTCCTCCCCGAGATTCTGCTGCGGGATCCTTCCGTCTGGCCAAGAGGAGAAGGAGGTCCCAGGATCTCTTGGGAAGGCTGACCATCCTCTGCTCCATCCCCCACTGGCCCTTCAGCCTGCCCCAGGAGTGAGGGTCCGCTTCCCCCAAGGAGGGGGGGCTGGGGGACACCCCAAGGGAGGCACCTAGACTGGCTGGAGTGTCACGAAGGCTGAGGCTGGAGCAGAGCAGGCCCTCAGAATGGGGGAGGGGGGGTCTCTCTGGTTCTCGTCCTGTCAAGAAGGGGGGGCTCTCCAATGCCTCTGCCCCCCCCCACAGCCCCCCAAGGAAGACCCTTCCTGAGGCCTCCTTCCTTTTTGCAGGAACTCCCTGAGGGCTCCGTGGAAGAAGCTCGGCCTGCTTTGTGCCGAACGGAGAGAGAGGCCGGTTCAGGAGGAGACCAGGCGCAGGAAGCCTCCAGGCGCCTTCAGGAGGGAGGGGGGATTCTGGAATAAATCCTTGCCCGAAGGAGACGGTGGTCTCGGGTGCTCTGTGTGTCTCTTTCCTTGGCAAGGGGAAGGGGGCGCAGGCTGCCCCCCACTTCATTATTAAACACAGAATTTGCCACCCCGGCCAGGCAGGTTTATGGCGGCCTCCATGTATCTCTGGGAAGTGAACCAATGAATACATAAATATGCCCGCTTGCCGCCGCTCTGGCACACCCCTGCTGGGCGCCCCGCTGGCTCCTCTGACCAGCCTTCCAAGTCAAGGACCCCCCGAAAGCAGAACTCCGAGGTTCCTCAA